ATGGATTATTGCTTACAACTATTTTTGCCAGTCTCTGTATAATGACCACAATATTACGTTAATTTCGTTTATAACGAAGCTTTTTTTTATGGTCCCAAACATTTCGTCGTGAAGAGATTCTACTGTTATTCTCACATTCGAAAGAAAGATCGATTCCTTTTCGTGAAATAATTTAATCTCGCGAATAAAATGGAACTTGAAAAAATCATTTAAAAAAGGAGAAAAAATGTCGAATAGGATGCTGGAAAAATGTGCTTGAACAAATTGTTTTCAGTAGTTAGGCTTTGGAATTTCATTCAACTACAGTTTTTGCAGGATGATTAAAGCGCAACAAGCCCCACAAAATGCGAAGAGTCCACCATTTCAACGAGGTTTCATATACAGTATAGTATAATATTTAACGAATACAGCACTGGTCAAATTTCAGTCCACGGAAAGACAGACAATGAACAAAAGGAGCAAAAAATCCCCCCAAAATATTCACATTTTTGTTGGTCTAGTAGCGCGTGAAAACACCTGAATACTACTGGAATAAATTTCAAACGAAGTTAAAATCAACCATAAATTGTATACGAAATTTACAGGACATTTCAGAACAAGAAAATTTTCCAGAATTATTCAAGTTCTCAGTTTGAGAGTATGAGTCTGAAACAATTTAAAAACCAAATTTCTCCAGAGCTGGCGCATCACTTTTGTAAAAGATCACAAAAACAAACCTGGCGACTCTGCGAGAATAGCAGTACTTTGTGGTTCTGCTTCTTCCAAATGCGCAACAACGACTCCAAAACCACCATCTTCCCCGACAATTTCCAGTACCCGAATCGTTCCGATTCCGGCAAACTCATTTGATTCACCTGTCAATAAAAAAAATAGTAATTACACAAGAACTGGTTTGACCCCGAGGTCAACCAATCGACCCCACTCACTTCGCCGAAGTGTTTCGGCCCACCGTCATACAAATGCGGATGATTGCAGATTTTTCTCAAAATCGTCAACCCAACAAACGGTTTCTGCATCCCTTGCCAAATCGATTTTGCTTCTCGCGAATTCAAATATTCAAGGTAGAGTTCCCTTTGGCGATCAGTCAGTTTGCAAAATAGCACCTGTAAAAAGTTTTGAAAAATTGCAGGTTAAAATTGGAACGACAAGATGTTGAAATGCTGGTTTCCTAACCGTACACCAGAATTCGTCAAAATCATCCCGACGTGACCTAAATTAAAATTGTGCTTTTGGAAGTTGTACTCGACAATTTTCGAAAATGGCCAAAATTGAATTTTTCACAATTCTTCAATTTTAAATTTTTCGAAGCCCGATTCAGAAGAACTTGCGCTCATGAGCGCGAAAGATTTTAAATACAGCCTTACATGTTTACATTTTAAACTTTTCGGTAATTATGAGCACTCCGTAAATTAATTTCCGATCCGGATAAGTACCTGTTCATTCTTCGTCGGCAACTGAATGTGATGCTGAACACTAGCCTTCATTCTCCGAATCATGTACGGAGCAATCGTGTC